TGTGTCTCTAGTGAGCACCAACTGTACAATAGAGATCTCTAGAAGGAAACAAACACCAGTCTCATTGTTCGCATATGCCCGTTAGTTCCAGGAGTTATTGATTTTACTTACATGCTTCTCTTAGTTGGGCTCACATGGATCTCTTTGTGGCATTAGGGTCCCTGATTCCACATCTTATTAATTACTGAGCTGGGAAATGAGATGTGTTTGTCCCCTTTTGAATAGAAAGTATGACTGTTCATATCATTATCTGTATGAATGGTACTCAGGGAATATCAGTGGGCTTCAGCAAAAGGGAAGAGGGAAGGAATGTCATCACATTTTCAGTAAGCTCAAAGCACAATGATACTGTGCATTTCTGCTGAAAAACCCTAGGTTTTTACTTTGTAGCTTGCTGACTTTTTGCAATTGCTATGTGGACATATTTGGCATTTTTAATACTTGGCACACAGATCTTCTATTGTTCTCAGCTTTGGTACTTTTAGAGAAATTCAACATAACGGAAAAAGACCCACTAATTTTCCTAGAATATACATAGCCCCTGTCAAGGAATAAGTTAGAGTTTAGGAACTGACATTAAAAGAGATGATAGCAAGCAATCTCAGTTATTAAGGACAGAATGACTTTGTTTTCATATTTCTTTATATGTTCATTCAATTTCAGTAGGTTAGATCAGTCAGGTTTTGTTTCACAAGTTGAGTGTGCTGTGTGAGCAAATCTAAAATCTCTGCACTAATTGAAATGACAATTTAATGGGAGAGGTGGTCATTATACCAACACAACTATTATTATAAATTTGAGTATGACCAAAGAAGAGAGGGCTATGAACAAAGCATGGTACATGATAGGCCCGCTACATTTGGCTCATTTCTGTGGACAAGGACCTAGAGTCTATGTGACATTATACTCTGCTAGACCCATCAGAGGTAAATCCTTTCTTAGCAGTAAAGCTGTAAGTCCTGTCAATGACAGTTAGAGCCATGTGTCTACAAAGTGTCCATTTGGGCTCTCAGTCATTTATTATTTATTTAGTGTCAGTCCTTCACTAGGAGCTGTTTAAGTTATAACAATATCGAAGCATATGGGGTACAGGCTTTTCTATAGATCTTTATATTCTAGGAATTTATAGCCTAAGCTAAATAAAAAATTACATACCGAGGTGAGGTGGTGTATGCTTACAATCCCAGAACTTTGGGAGGCTGAGGCAGGAGGATTGTAAGTTAATGCCCAGCCTGGGTAACTTAGTGACTCAGTGAGACTGTGTCTCAAAGAAAGTTATGGTACTGAGTTAGTTGAGATGAGGATAAACTTAGAAATTGCGTGGTAGAATCCGTTTCTTCAGCTTTGGGAGATCAGTGGTGAGACCTGCCAGGCAATGTGCCACCTTCATGCTTTTCTGAAGCATGAGGAGGAGCTAATTTGACCAAGAAATGAGATACAGAGTTGGGGATTTAGCTCAGTGGTTCTGCCACCTGCCTTGCAAGCGCAAGGTCCTGAGCCAACTCTCCGATACCAAAAAGAAAAGAAAAGAGATACAGGGGAAAGAAAGAATATCTAGATAGAAGAAGCAGCATTCAAAAAACAAAGCATCAAGGACCCCAACTAGTGAGCCTTGACACACTGAAGGCCTCCAAGGCAAAAATACTGATGCGCTTGACCTTGTAACAACTTCTGCTCCTCATCCTAGCGTGTCATGATGTGGAAAATACTGAAAAGCACTGATCTAGAAGTTAGAACAAACTATATCCCTTTAGGGAATTATACAACTATATGAAATGTAGAGAGAGAGACAGAGATGCTGGCCAATTTTGGACCTTACGTATCTCATTTAAATACGAACATAGCAATATTATCATCAGTATAGTCTTCAAACTAGCAAGATTGAAAGGAGAAATGGAGATAAGATTTAATAATGAGTGAATGTTATAAGCTCCCACTAATTCAATACTATTTATAAAAAATGATTTTGCATCTTTTGTCTGTTTAAAGCCCCAGGTTTCAGAGAGAATTTGGTTGCGTGTGTTATGGTTCTTATTTTCTTATGGTATAGAATTAGGGAACTACTGAGAAAGGAAGAGAACCAGAGAGATCAAAGAATGTGGAGAGGGAATGCGTGGCAAAAGCTCCCTTTTGAGTGTACAAGAGAAACAGGGCCTGATGTGATTGCGTGCTATGGAGTAAGTTTTCCTCAAGATTTATAAATACAGATTTTGGAATTCTCTGAAAAACTACTTTAATTTTTTTTTCTTCAGATATGACATTAAAAGGAGAGAGCAGGCTCCGTGACACCCTAAGACTGTTACAGTTGAAGTACCTATGCATACTGAGGAATCTCAGGGAAGAGATTTAGTGCAGTGTGGAAAATAACCTCTGAATTTCAAATTCTAATATGTGATTTCTGATTCTAACACTTAATAGTAGAATGATTTTGGATTAGTTTCTAGCATATCTCTGGATAGGATTCACTTCTGTATCCTCAGAAATGAAGAGGGGTACTGTACCTGTCATATGTAATTCATTGGGTCAATGTGAACAATAAGATATGAATAATATGTGCTATTCAAATCAAAGAGTTTGCGAGCATTTCATGGTAGCAATAATAGTGATGTTGGAACTAACAAGAATGTCTTTTAATTTTTGAACATGATAGGATTATATACTTGGTAGCTTTTGAGAAATGATGGTTGATGACAATGTGAAGGTCGTAAAATGATCACTTGTCCCTATTTTGAATGGCAGTGTCTCCGATTTAGAGGAAACTAACTTCTCATCAGGCTGGCTGTGAACTTGGCAGTACTATAGTTTGAAATCATCACCATTTTCTTCATGACATTATCCTTACATGTCTGAATTCTTATTGTTATATCTGCAAATGCCACTATTCAGTCCCCGTATTTTCTGGTGCTATAATGCTGCAAAATCCTGTGATGGAGGGATAACTAATAAATTATTTGACAGGATATATTGAAAAAAAGCCTTTGTAATTCACAGTTCTGACATAATGAAAAGCTTATAATTCAGCAGTGTGACCTCACAGCTGTGAATTACAAGTTACACTTGACTTGTTCACAATTTGTCTTTGAATTTATACTATGCAAAGTGAGAACCATATTGTCAAACTGTCACTCCATATTGATATATTACTGCTGAAGATTAAGAAACATTTTGTCAAAGAGCAAGAAAATAAAAATATTCTAAAGAAGATGGGTTTGGTACACAGTTGAAGGGTAGTATGAAGCAAACAAAAGTGTCTAGAAAAGATAGTATGTATTTTGTGTCTATCTGAGGATATATAAAAATATTCTAAAGAAGATGGGTTTGGTACACAGTTGAAGGGTAGTATGAAGCAAACAAAAAGTGTCTAGAAAAGATAGTATGTATTTTGTGTCTATCTGGGGATGTGCTTTTAATTCTCTCACTCAATAACAACAAACTTCTTAAAAATACTCAGTAGAGGGCTGGAGATTTAGCTCAGTGGTGCTGCCACCTGTTTTGAAAGCACAAGGTCCTGAGTTCAATCTCTTGTACAAACAACAACAACAACACAAAACTCAGTAGACTCCAGATATTCTCCTAAGCAGTTTAGATATAAACACTTTAAAAACACCAGAAATTTCTACAGGTAGATGTAATTTTTACTTATATTTTGTAGACAGAAGACAAGAGGCCTAGAGAGGTTGATTAACTGCCTAAGGTCACAGAGGCTGTAAGTAGGAAAGGTAGTATTCAAATTTACAGATCCAAAGGCCATCCCTCTGATCTTTGCTACCTGGCCCTTGTGAGGATGTTTTCAGAGTGGAGGTGGGTAAATCTATACTATAATAATAATCTATTTATATATTTTCTTGGATTAGATAGTGACACTACTGTTTCAAAAGACTTGGGGTACAGCTCAGTGGTAGATTACTTGCCTAGTGTGTGTGAGGACCTAGGTTCAATCCCTAGCACTGAATAATGCAAGGCAGAAAAAGAAATTATTTTACTTGTTTAGATCCAGAATAAATGAAGTTATCTATGCTGTCCCTATGTTTAATATTATTTTCAATCTTTCATGTATCTTTAAGTAAAGAAAGTTTATAAGTTATGGAAATGTTTTAAGAGTAGTTCTAAACACTGTTGTTATATACCTTATCCAGAATTATGAAGTGTTTATGTTTTACCTCATTGGTACTTTATTTTTCCTCCCCTCAGAATGATTTGAAATGAAGAGATAAGTACCTCATTATCCCTAAATGTGTATTTCCTGAAAGCAGAAATATTCTCTGACAAAATGACAAAAATCAGGTGATATCACATTGGTACAAATCTAATATCTAACCCGTGGATTGTGTTCAAGTACAGTATTCTTTAAAAATGTTTTTCTATATTGGAGACTTTGTTTTATTTTCCCCTTTTGTATACAAATGTTTATAACACCTTTGTTTATAATTGGCAAAATATTCTACAATTCCATAAGCTACAATAAGAAGAAAAAAAGGAAAGAATTAGTGATATGTGGGACAATTGGAATGGATCTCTAGGGCACCACGCTCAGTGAAAAAAAAAAAGCCCATCATGTGTTGTGTGATTTACATAATATTCCTAAAAATAGCAAAATAAATAGAGGAATGGAGGAGAAGTCATCCGTGGTTAGTGACAGTCTTGGGTGTTGAAATATGCCTATAAAGGGTAGCATGAAAGATCTCTTTGTGGTGTTGGAATAGATTTGCATCTTGATTATGATGGTAGTTGCAGAAATTCTGTTACATCATATCAGAATAGTTATTAATAGCTGGGCATAAGAGTAACAGCTGAAGTCAGAACGAATAAATGAATAAAATGCCAATGCTATAATCCTTTTTCAGATGTAGTGAAATCAAGTTTCTCTCAATTCAATGGGTTCTCATGATGTCTAAGAGGATTCACAGATTAATCATCGTCTCTGATGGGATGTCCCACTTCTTCCTGGCCTATTCTGGATGACTCTGGTATTCTTTCTCTGCTCTTGCAATCTTGTCTAGCTGCTTCACAGGTGTTGCTGAATGGAGGCTGTGCAACTGGGAAAAGAGAACCGCATCTATAGCGCTAATGAGAAGAGAGCCCTTGCATCTTTTAACCAAGAAGAGGGATGAAAGAGAGAGAACAAGATTCTGGCCAGTTTTCCAGAGATGGTATACAGAAAGACAAAAGTGAAGGATTTTCTAACTGATCAGCAGACATTTTTCACAACAAAAAAGAAAGTCTGGCTTCTACACATACCCAAAAAGATTACTATGCTCTGAAAAAGCTTTACAGTGCTATTTACTGTGCCTTCTATTGGATTCCTTCAGTCATTTAATAAAAAAACGTGCTTATTGATAAAAAACTCTTCTTTAAACCAAATATATGCTAGTCAATATATTGTTCCAGCTGTGGAATCTGCTCCAATGGTGACTGTATCTGAGAGGTGCCCTTCATCTCCATTTGTAATATACATCATTATAGAATTTAAAAAGTAATCTGCTTTAAGCTCTGGCTTATAGAAGTTTCAGTGAAAATCTGTGCAGTTAGTACTGGTTCTTCATAGCGGATCTCTTTCATGATTCAGATTTGTGAAAATAGACCATTTAGGGTTATGAATAAAATATAACACCCTGTATTTCAATTTGTCCCTTGTATTAGTCAGCTTTCCTATTGCTGGGACAAAATATCTAACACCTGCAACTTAAAAGAGGAGAGTTTTATTTTACTTCATATTTTCAGTCCATACTCAGCTGGCTCCAAGGCAGAATGGTGTGGCAGAACACAGGGGGGAGGAAAGCTTGTTCACTGCATGGTGAGGATGCAGAGAGAGAAGAGAGAAGCAGGTTATGAGACACAACCGTCCAATTCGTGCTACTAGTGACCTAACTTTTTAAATTAGGCCCCACCTCTGAATGTAGGACTTTTGCTGGATATTTTAGATCAAACCATAATACCCTTTCTCAACTTCTTTTCTCTTTCCTGTCTACTTCTCAAAATTGTTGCCAATTATTAATTCAATAGGAACTTATGGGTTTTTTCCATTGTTTATTGGTACATTTTAGGTATAAATATAGTTACATTCATCACTGGGATCTTGTAGCTTTACATGATGTATCTTGGTTCATATATTTCCTCATTCCCCTGCCCTCCATTTACCCCCCATCCATCCATATTTACAAAGACTTTGTTTCCATTTTTTCCTTTTCTTGTATTTTTCCCTTCTTTGCTTTCCCCTACCCCTCCCAATTCCCCTACTCCTTAAAGCTTTTCTTCCTATTTCACAATAACAGTTGTACATTTTGATCCTTATTTACACTTTTATTTTTTACCAGAGAAACTATTCAGTATTTGCACATGTGTCCTATTTCTTTCATACTTAAGAGTAGGGCCTCAATGTATATCCACTTAGCTATGAATGTCTCTCGTTTCTCATTCTTTATGGCTGAGTAGTACTCCATTTTATATTTTTAAGAAAAACTCATCTTCCATATCCAGTCTCCAGTTGATGGGCAATTGGGCTGTTTCCAAGTTTTAGCTAACAAACTTTGCCATTATAAGCATGATGAACATATATCACTGTGGTATGATTCTTTTAAATCTTTTGGAAAGATACCCAGCAGAGGAATAGCTGGGTCAAAAGGGAATCTCAGTGTTATTTTGATTTGCATCTCTCAAAGGACCAATGATGTTGAACATTTTTTCATGTTTATTTGCTGCTTTTACTTGTTTGTCTGAGAAATATCTGTTCGTTTCAGATGCCCATTTTTAAATTGGGTCTTTATATTTTTAGGGGTTTAATTTTTTTAAGATCTTTATATATTCTAGATAGTAGTCTTTTGTCTGAGGAACAGCTGATAAAACTCTTCCCACTTTATAGGTTGTCTCTGTTCTATTTCTGGTTTATGTTGCAGTTCAGAAGCTTTTTAATAAGATGAGATCCCTGTTGTTGATTTTTTGTGCTAGTTCCCATGCTATTGAGGATTTGTTCATAAGGTCTTTTTCTATGCCAATGTCTTTCAGAGTTTTACCTAACTTATCTTCCAGCAAGTTTAGTGTTTCTGTTTCAATATGTAGATCTTTAATACACTTCAATTTTAGTTTAATGCATGGTGAAAAATAGGGTTCTAGTTTTAATTTTAGGCAGGTTGAAATCCAGCTCTTCCAGCACCATTTATTAAAGAGGCTGTCTTTCCTCCAGTGAGGATGGTTGGCTCCTTTGTCAAAGATGAGGTAGGTGAGTACATCTGGAGTTGTTTCTGTATCTTCTAATCTATTACACTAATCCTTGGGTCTGTTTCTTTGCCAGTACTATGCTGTTTTTATCACAGTGGCTTTGAAGTATAGTTTCAAGTCAAGGTTATGATGCCCTCTTTCATGACTCTGTTGTCTAGAATTTCTTTTGCTATTCTAGGTCGCTTCTGATTACAAATGAATTATTGTTGGGATTTCAATCGGGATTGCATTGAATCTATATAGCAGTTTTGGAAGTATGGCCATTTTCACTATGTTGATTCTTCCTACCCAGGAGAAGAGGATCTTTCCATTTTCTTATATCCTTTCCAAACTTTTTTCAGAGTGCTATCATTCTCAATATAGAGATCTTTTGCTTTTTTCTTTAGATTAATTCCTAGATAGTTCCTTTTTTGTATGCTATTTTGAAAATAATTGTTTCCCTGTCTCTCTCAGTGAGTTTAGTTATTTGTGTGCAAGAAGGCTATTGATTTTTGAGTGTTGACCTCGTATCCAGCTACTCTACTGAATCTGTCAGTTAAGTCTAGAGCTTTGGTGGTGTTTTGGGGTCTTCTATGCAGAGTATCATATCATTAGCAATAAGGACAGTTTAACTTCTTTCTTTCCTATCTTTATTCCTTTTATTTCTTTCTCTGGTCTAATTGCTGTGGATCATGTTTCCAGAACTATATTGAACAGGAGTGGTGATAGTGGACATCCTTGTCTTGTTCCTGATTTTATTGTGAAGGTTTTCAATTTTTGACCATTTAGTGTGATGTTGGCTATTGGTTTTTCATAGGTAGTCTTTATCAAGTTGAGATAAAGACCATATATTCTAATTTTCTGTAGGGTTTTTATCATGAGTGGGTGTTGGATTTTGTCAAATGCTTTTTTGGCATTTGTCAAGATGATCGTATGGTTTTCATCCTTGCTTCTGTTAATATACTGGATTACATTTATTGATTTTTGTATGTTGAACCACCCTTGCATTCTTGGGATAAGTCTGACTTGGTCAGGGTCCATGATCATCTTGATGACCCTCTGTATTCTGTTTGCCAGTATCTTATTGAGGATTTTTAAATCTATGTTCATCAGGAAGATTGGCTTGTAATTCTCTTTTTTGGTTGGTTCTTTTTCTGCTTTTGAAATCAAAGGAACACTTGCTTCCAGAAAAAATTTGGAAGTATTGCTTCCCTTTGAATTTAATTGAAAAGTTTAAACAGTGGTAGCAATAGTTCTTCTCTGAATAATTTATTGAATGTAGGTGAATTCGTCATGACCTGGGCTTTTGTTTGTTGGTGAATTTTTAATTAAATTTTCAATTTCACTGATTATAATTGTTGTGTTTAGAATTTTTATATCTTCTTCAACTTTGGTAATTAATATTTAGGAATCTTTCCATTTCTTCTGTGTTTTCCATTTTATTAGAGTACAGGTTTTCAAAGTAGGTATTGTTGTTCCTCTGAATTTCTGTTGGATCTATTGTTACTTCACATTTTTCCTTCCTAATTGCATGAATTTGAGCCTTTTCTTTCTTTTTTTATTTTTGATAATTTGGCTAAGGGTTTATCAATTTTATTTATTCTTTCAAAACACTAACTTTTTGATTCTATGATTTGTTGTATCATTCTCTTAATTTCCATTGATTTCTGCCCTGATCTTTATAATTTCCTCCCTGTACAAACTTTGGGTTTGTCTTGCTCTTCTTTTTCTATAGTGTGGGCATTCACTGCTATGAATTCCCCTCATAGAAATATTTTCAATGAGTCCCATAGATTCCTGTATATTGTATTGGCATTAGAATTTAGTTGTAGAAACTAACTAATTTCTTTTTTAACTTTTTCTGTTGCCCATTTGTTGTTCATGAGAGTGTTATTCAATTTCCATGTGTTTGTGGAGTTCTTGCAGTTTCTTATACCATTGATCTCCAGTTTGATTGCACTGATAATATACAGGGATAAACTGAGTTCCTTTGCATTTATTTAAACATGTTGCATGAGTTAGCATGTGGTCATTTTGGAGAATTACCTGTGTGCAGCTGAAAAGAATGTATATTCTGATTTTGTGTGATGGAACATTCTGTTAAAATCTTTTAAGTCCAGTTATTCAAAAGATTGGTTCAGTTCTAGTATTTTCTTGTTCATTTTTTATCTAAATTATCCATGTATCTTTGACAGTGGGCTATTGAAGTACTCCAGTACAACTGTGTTAGTGCTTATTTATATTTTCATGTCCATTAATATTATTTTTGTATAGCTGGGAGCATTAGTATTTGGTTTATATATATTTATGATTGTCATCTCTTCCTCTTGGATTGTTCCTTCTACAAGGATGTAGTAACCTTCTTTGTCTGTCTTAATTAATTTTGGTTTGAAATCTGCTTTTCTGCAAATAAGGTAGCTACCCCTGTCTTTTTCTGGGTTGTTGTCTCATGGGGAACTTTTTACTATGCATTTCTTTTTGAAGTAGGTGTGTTTCTTCTATACAGCATATTCTTGGATTTTGTTTCTTAATCCATCCTTCTAACTCTTTTGGTGACTTGAGACTATTAACATTGGTAGTTGTAACTGATATGTATTGACTTATCCTTGTCATATTATCTTCCTGTTGTTGGTTCTTTTATTTTTTTGTTTTTCCCCCCTCTCCATTTAATTTATTGCCTAGCCTAATGGGTTCACTCTGTTAGGCCTCATGGAGTTGTAACCTTCATTGTCTTTTTCTAGGATATTGTTTAGAATTGTTTGGAGTGTTGGTTTGGTATTCATAAAGTTTCTTGGGTATTCTTTGTGTAGAAGTATCATCTTATTTCCCCATCCATTTTGAAAGAGAGTTTTGCAGGATACATCAATCTAGATTGGAGGTTGTTTTCTTATAGGGCTTGTAATACCTTACTCCATGCTTTCCTTGACTTACGGGTTTGTGTTAAAATGTCTGCTGTGTTTATGATGGGCTTTCCTTTATATGTGATTTGTTTCTTTTCTCTAACTGCTTGTAGTATTTTGTTTCTCTGTTGTTCCAGGATCTTGATTATTATATGTGTAGGTATAGAATTTTT